GCGTGACTGAGTCAAACTTGAACATGCCTCTAGCTCCCAAACCAAAGCTATATAATCCCCAAGTTCCCCCCTCCTACACATCTTGATCTGCAATTCTCAACCAACTCTCCCGAGCGATACCAAACCAAACCGATATAATCCCCAAGTTCACCCCTCCTACACATCTTGATCTGCAATTCTCAACCAACTCTCCCGAGCGATATCCAAGACTTTAGTCGTTTAAGCGCATCTTATCAACATCTTCTAATCGGAAACACACCGCTAAAAGCCCAGCAAAATGGATCCTTACTTATTGCTAAAGAGTCCATATTTAAACCCGAACCTGCCGGTGGAGAGAATCGTGTTCAATTTCACCACCGCATGTTCCCAACAGACACAGGTCGACTTTCTTGACCTGCTCCGCAACTCTCGGCTTTGGCTCGTCACAGGTTATACCGGCATCAGGTATGAGCAAAACCACTACGAATTATTCCCAGAGAACGACGGACCGATAGATCCAAACCGTGCGAATCTGCTTCTCCAAAGTATGAGGTTTGGGGTAGACCAGCTGGATGACCACTTGGTCGCGACAAGATCAACTGTGCTATCTCCCGACCAATTTCAAGAGAGGGTGGAGTGGGTGGAGGGCATGGACCACGCCTACCCGGAGGGGTGGCACCCGACCCCAGGAGGTTACTAAGTCGGGTAGTTGTCCCCCCAAAATGGCCCCAAGGTCGTCGTCAGTTCCGATCTGTGATGGTGGAGAGTCTGGCAGGACTTTCGATACGGTGGTGGATTGGTTCAAGCTATTTGGTTGAAAGTCCCCATGTGATAACGTTTTACTCCTGTTAGATGAGATTTTTTTGGTATCTTATTGAGTTAATGCAACTTTAGTCGTTCGCTTGTCCTCTTTGTGAAAGAAACAGGAATTGGTGATAATATCGAAACTATGAGTGTAATTAAGCCCGAAGCTACAACGCCGCCTGATTCTCTGACTGCTAGATTGACTAGCCCTATGGTACTGATGGTGCATAAGAATAGAGTAGAGTAAGATATTGAGCTGCTGAAAGTATCGTACAGAACCTCGGCATCACTCAGTGCTCTGTGTGTACTATAACCTGGATTATTATTCAAAGGAAGCCCGGAATATAGCTGGGCCAAGCCAAATTGCATTATTCCAATTGCAGACACCAGCATCTGAGTTAGTAGATCCCTGCTCGAACTTTAGTCGTATGGAGAGAACCGTTGTCAGCGAGATACATATGGACAACGTGCTTTAACAGAAGCATCAGCTCATCAGGTCCTTTTGTGCTTCCCCACTCAACTTCCCGTGCATTATTCTCACCTGTTTATTCTGAGTAACATCATGGATTAGTTCAATTACTTGCCACCCCAAACGCAATACAAGGCACTTGCAATGGTTCAGAGAACGGGTTCAGAACCCTCACTCAGCGAACCCCAGCCGAAGACTCTCCTGATACTCAGCAACAAGACTCCCGAGGAGGCCTGCATATCTGATTCTAAGCCGCAAAATGCGTTGATTTACATGGAGACCCCTGAGTTAGTCGATAATGCCTTGGAGCCTTTGAATATTTGGGGCTAGAAACTTCAAGAATCAGGCCTGCCGAGGTGACTGGTATGTTTCGGTAGTGAACACTGGATTTGGAAGTGCCCCAGCCGGTTAGCGACAGAAGGCAGCTTCATCGAGCGTTTCCCCTAGCTTAACGACAAGAGTAAATGACCTTGTATCACCCGTCAGGGTCTGGGTGACGATGGCAAACACTATTTCAAGTGCTAGTATCGACTAGTTGCTGGCTTCTCAAGATTACAAAATCAAGGCCATTGCTACCATAGCCAACGTTTTCGAGAGTAAAACGGAATACACGTGTGTAGCAGGGCTGTGGGTGGAAGACCTGGCTGTCGGGCTGTTCTGGAACGCAACATCTCATGGAGTCTGGTAGTTCGCAACTCGGTAGACATGCCATCTTGGTCCTGGGCATCAGTCAAGGGGCCCGTGTTGACCAATTACCTCGACCATGCCACTCCCAAACCGAGGCTACTTCACAATGAACAGCACTGAGAGGGGATTCTATTATTTTTCCAGCCTTAAGGTTTCCCATCTGATTAAACGAATGAGAGAACTTTCTAGAACTGAGATCTTTAATAAATAGGAGAAAAGTCACACCAATTTGTTCCACTTCTTTTGTGAATGGCCCGGGAGAGCTCAGCACCAAGCGTAATGCTCGTTGTTGATCAACACAGGCTCTTCAGTTAGACAATCAGACTCACGATCGCCGAACCAAAGACAGCTGGCGATGCAATCCGTCTCCCGTTCTATTTTTTCGTACTTTAGAGAACTTTCATCGATTAGTCTTTGAGCCAGCACCGAGGGCTCCCAAATCTTTACTCTATTGAGACGCCACGCCTTGGCTTGATGCTGAGCGGCCTGAATGACCGACTCGAAGGACTCGAGAACGTCCGGGTCTGTCGCGGCCGCAGCATCCTCAGAGTTGACGCAGGGGAAGGGTTTGTTGGCCGTCTTGTCGGGCTCAATTACCAACCGCAAGATGTAGAGCACATTGTTGGGCGACTGAGCATCAGGATGGTCATAATAACGACGGGTCCAGATAGCCCAAACTTGTTTGCCGGGCCTGCCTGCGATTGCCCCTTTGATATCTGGGATCTTGCCACCGAAGATGAACTTGGAAGCAAACTCCTCTTTGGCAATGTGCCATAACATGTGGTCCGCATCTGGGAGTATCATCGCCCGTGTCTTGATAAACGGTTCGGGCGCCGACATGGCCTCTCGAACCATGATCTCATCCCTGCGGCAAAGGTCCGCAATCTCGTCTGTGGCGACCGGACGGACAGAAGATGGCCATTCCACGTCGCCGAGAGGGAACTCCAAATGGAAATTGGTCTGGTTAGGCCTCCATCCCAGTTTGTCGTAGTATTCCTTCCCAATGTCGGAGTACAGGATGCTTCCCATGTTGGGAGTTCCGCTTTCTGCCTGCCAACTGCGAAGCGCCTTGGCCATTTCTGCCATGAGTCGACCGGCGTAGCCACGACGCCGATACTGGGGTGCGCAGAATACGCTGGCAATTCCGTGGATGATTGCCTCCTTGGTATTCCCATTCTGATCGCTCTGGAGGCTTCGCTTCCTGAAGCTTTCGCAGGAGGCGAGGATATGGCGGTGGTTGGGGGGCTGGTCCTGTTCGACCAGAATCCATTGGGTCATGCCGCCGTCTTTGGCGAGAGGGACCGTGGTGAGAAGGACTGACTCACGGATGAAGGCGGGAAGAGTCAGCGAGTCCTTCCATGATGCCGATACGTCAGTCCAGATGGTGACACATTCTTCTGGCGTTGGGTGGCAGAGATGGAGGGATGTCGAGTCGGACTCTGGTAGTTTAGGAGAGGTCATTCGTGTACGCCAGGATGCAGGCCAGATCAACGCTGGCGATGGAAAAGCTTGAATGCCTTTGATGATGTGTCAAATCACTGCTGCCGATGTGGGGTAACTCACGCGACGCGACTGAATCTTGTTTGGCTGCTTTGTTGTTGACGGAGCTGGTTCAAAGTTTATATGCATTCTTGTTCCATCTCGTGTTGAGATGTGAAAGTCATGAACGGCAACGTCGTCAACCACAAAAGCCACCACTTTAGATATTTAAGACCATAAAAGACCCAGAACATTGCGTTTAAGTCATCGTTATACCCTCTATCTAGACTCATCACTAACAAGCTACTGGAACTGAGCTTGGCCTCCTCTTCTCACTGTATAGGGTAGGCACATCGGTTCCATGGTGGTTGAGCCCTCCTCGACAATGGAGAAAGGCCCCTGATTCTCGTTTCCTGGGAAATTAAATTGTTCAACGTAGGTAGTTTCGATCGCAAGGTCATAGTCATGGGAATTCCCTGAGTATAGAGGAAACAACTGATTGGCCGGCTCGCTGAGGCAGGGCAACGGACATGACGGCCAGTGATGGTGGGCTGTGATGTCGCAGAATCCCAGCCGGCGATCTCTATTTAGAATTCTAGATTCATGTCCACCAGCGCAATGGCAGATATGACGCGTGAGGAGGTATTGCGGGTACAATTTCCGGCTGAGAGCGATGAAGGATTGACTGCCTATTCTAGCCTGGGCTAACATTCGGCATTTACCTCTCTAGTGAGGGCGTTTTGATGGGCAGAATCTGGAGGGTTTCAATTGGCACCGAGGGTCTGCCCAGTAGGGCTGAGGGGATGGAGTAAGCACCGGCTAGAGTGAACCGAATTGCTTGGAAACTTGGTATGGTCGAGCAGTTGTTCATCTCGCCTTACAATCTTTGGAGATCAATTGCCGCTGATCACTTCGCAACGCGTCTTTGACTAGCAGCAGTGTTCCCCCAGTGTTCTTTATTTGGACATTGGGCTGCTGGCTGGGAGGTTGACGATGGGCTTCATTGCATCACAACATCCATTGTGAAGTTATTGTGGGCCGCAGAATACTTCCCAGAAAGGAAATCGTGCGTTCAGCAATTGCACTGGTCTGCTCTAAAATTCTGAAGGAACATTGCTAGGGAATTGTGCTGATCAGCGACGCGTGCATGATTGGCTGTATCGCTTAGAGTTGATGGGTCAGCACAGGGGTCATGACGAGACCTTGCCGTAGCGTACCATCAGGCTGTGGCAGAGCAGTAACTGTATCCTTTCCCGAAGACGTTTAATCATTGGCTGGGTGCCTTTTAAGGTGTGGGCGAGACGGGGAAGACAACGGTCGATGGCTCATCGTGGAGGCCTATTGAAGGGTGCCTGATGTGGGTGGGCCTCATATTTGAGTGAATGGAAAGGGATGGTCTGGATGTGTTTCTACTGGACGCTAGTTGCATTATCGGAGGGACCGAGTAATATCTGAGTGGCTTCTTGTTGTAACAAAGAAGAGGAGGACTCCTCTGTTTGGGTGTGTATGGCACTCTGGAGTTGGAGGATGATGATGATGCTCGATGAGTCGAGGTTCAGGCGTGTCGGCGTTGGAGACAAAGATGAGCGGCAGCGAGGTGGCTTTCACTAAGAAGAACGGTGCCGGAATTAAGGTTGCCAAGAGCGCCTACGAGCAGTGCAATGTCGTCAAGCTCCAACATGGCGAAGCTGTTCCGGGTCGCTGGCCCTGGCAGATCCCTTCTGTTGACGTCCACGGGCAGCATGTGGTGGACCCCTGGAATGGCCAATGTAAGAGCCATCATTGCCAAGATAGAAGAATGTCCGACAACTGTCTCAATTGAGTAATAGCCCACCCACGTCACAGCCCGGCGCAGGCAGTAAGCGGCACTGGGCTTGCTGTTCGTTCGGCTGAGAGATGGGCTGGGGTTGACGATGAGAGACAGTTTCATTTTCGGCGTTCTATAAGGATCCGTCATTGCCCCCCTCTTCTCCTGGATGGATCGATTTGATGTGTATAGATGTTTTGAGCGAGCTTGTCCTTTCATTTTCTTCTTGGTAAGTGGTGATGACCTGGCCCAGCAGCTCCTGGTGATGTGAATGGAAATGGTCTAACTGAAGTAGCCAGTTGACGCAGGATATTATATCACCAATCCTGCCACCCGTTCTCTGACGATTCCAATTGATATACACATCTTCCTGAGCGTGTTGTTTCGGAGTTCTGTTTCTGAAATCACCATATTTTTGTTGCGACAAGTCCAGCCTCTGTTGGTTCGGCAATACTCTGTGCTCTGTCTCCAGCGCACCTGGAAGCTGTCCCAGTGTCCAGCTCCACTGAGTCCAGCCCACTGAGTCCAGTGCAGTCCACTGAGTGCAGGGCTCCAGCCACTGCAGCCACTATGGCGCCGCAGAACAAATCGGCTTTGGGGAAGCAGGTTTTGACGTTGGTCAACAAGAACCTCAGTCTCCTCCTCCGCCACCACATCAACACCACCATCTACACCGCGCTTCTCCTCCCTGTCCTCCTCACCGTCTACATCGGCATCGGCCAGCGATTGAACCAGCCGCAGTCCAAGTATGGCTTCGCCGACCCTCTCGAGATCCGGTCTTTCGACGACGCCCTGAAGTCGGCCAGCTCGTGGCACAACGACGTTGTTTTTGTCCACAATGGCCACACCGGCGGCGAGATCGAGCGCGTCATTGACGACTTGCGCTCCCAGGTCGAGGCGGCTGGCAAGACCGCCTATGTCGAAGAATCAGAGGGTCGCTTGCGCAGCATCTGCCGGTCCTCGTTCAAGATGTCCAGTTCCTGTTACGGCGCCGTTGTCTTCGAGTCCTCCCCCACCGAAGGCGACGGAGGTCGATGGAGCTACATCATGAGGGGTGACGGCGCTCTAGAGCAGGAGTACAAGGTCCAGAATAACGACAACCCGGCTCAGATCTACGCCTTGCCCTTCCAGCGAGCTATCGACACTGCCATCGTCCGATCCAATTCCTCCAACACCAACGACGCTCCCAACCTTGGCAACACCCGCGAATTCGCCTTTACCTCGATCGATGATAAGGAACGTGAGGCCGATGGCCGGAGGCGGTACCAGAGGACTCTGATTGATGTCCTGGGAGCCATTTTTGCTCTTGCCCTGATCGGTACCGCATACCGCATGCCCGGTCACATGGCGACCGAGCGAGAGACTGGTCTGGCCCAGCTGATTGATTCCATGATGCCCACCAAGTATGATTGGGAGGCACAGCTGGCTCGTATTCTCTCCTGGCTTTATTCCTATACCATTGTCTACCTCCCTGGTTGGATTGTCGCTGCCGTCATCTCTGGCGTAATGGTTTGGTCCAAGACGAACCTGGGTATTGTCATCGTGAGTTTTCTTCTGGCAGGACTCGCTCTGACTTCCCAGGCTCTTCTGGGTGGAACGCCCTTCAAGGAGGCCGAGCTGTCAGGTATTGTCAATAGTGTCGTCTTCATGCTCCTTGCTGCCCTCGCTCAGGCCCTACCAAACCCCCCCACGGCAGCCGTTGCTGTCCTGAGCATCCTCTTCACGCCCTGTAACTTTGTCTTCTTCATCAAGGCTATGGCCCGATTCGAGGCTGAGGGCCAGGGCATGCAGCTCGTCGGCACACCGCCTGATAGCAATTCCTCCATGCCGGGCTTCCTTACTTGGATATTTTTCATCATTCAGATCCTCGTCTATCCTCTCATCGCCGCCTTCCTGGAGCGTGTGTTCCACAGCGTTGCCGCTGATGGCAGGAAGGTTTACCGGGGCGATGGTGCTGCTCCTGAGCATGCCGTGCAGATAATCGGAATGACCAAGGCGTACAGTCCTGGCTTCCTCCGACGCTTGTTCTCCTTCATCTCGAAGCCTCGCCCTGCGACTGTGGCCGTCCGAAACCTGTCCCTGTCTGCCAAGCGCGGCCAGATCCTCGCCCTTCTGGGTGCCAATGGCAGTGGTAAAAGTACCACTCTTGATGCCATTGCAGGCCTTCATCGTTTTGATTCTGGAAGTTTGTCGATCGATGCTTCGGGCGGAATCGGTATAGCACCCCAAAAGAACGTCTTGTGGGAGGAGATGACCGTCATGGAGCACATCAAGTTCTTCAACAAGCTCAAGTCCCCCTTCGCCCCAGCATCTGAAGCAGAGCTGAACGACCTGATTGCCTCTATCGGCCTCTCTATGAAGGCTCATACCAAGTCCAAGCATCTTTCGGGTGGCCAGAAGCGCAAGTTGCAGCTCGGTCTCATGTTGACTGGTGGAAGCAGTCTGTGCTGCGTCGACGAGGTTTCATCTGGCATTGATCCCCTCTCTCGCCGCAAAATCTGGGACATCCTCCTTGCCGAGCGTGGCAGAAGAACCATCATCATGACGACTCACTTCCTGGACGAGGCTGACTTGCTGGCTGATAACATTGCCATTCTTTCCAAGGGAGAGCTGCGAGCTGAGGGATCTTCCGCAGCTCTCAAGGACGCTCTTGGCGCAGGTTACCGCGTTCATGTCTTGAATGCCAAGCATGTCCGAAGCCCGCCCTCAATCCCCGGAGTCGACTGCAATGTCACTAGCACCAACATCGTCTATACTGCTCCTAGCTCTGAGCTGGCTGCCGAGGTGATTCGTGCTCTTGAATTCTCCGGACTGGAGTACCGCCTTACGAGCCCTACCATCGAAGATGTTTTCCTTCACGTCTCTGATGAAGTCAAGGCCGAGGAGAACTTGGCTTTGAGCGATGAACCTTCTTCTCACTCCCGTTCTCATCGGCCTTCCAACTCCGTCAGCAGCGATCATATGTCGCAAGAGAAGGCAATGCTTAACCGAGATGGCTCCCCGCAGCTGCTCTCCGGCAAACCTGCCGGTTTCTTCAAGCAGGTTGCTGTTCTCGTGAACAAACGATTCACTCTGTTCAAATCCAACTGGTTCCCGATCATCGTCGCATTCGTTATCCCCATTGTTGCGGCTGCTGCGTTGCAGTCGATGCTCAAAGACATCAAAGAGGTCAACAGTTGTACCCCAGTGAACGGCAATACAGGCGAGACAAAGGCGAGGTACGGCGATTTTGTGACTCACGCCAATCTCTCGGTCGGTCCATCGTCTGAATATGGTAATGGATTCGATGCCAATACTGAGTTCAGAGATATCCTTCCTGTGAACGGCCAGGGCCAGTCAAACGCGGATGACATGCACTTCCTGACGAGCGACACTTTTGACGACCTGCGCAAGCTGGTGGAGGATTCCAGAGACCAGATCAACCCCGGTGGCTGGTGGATTGACACATCAGGCGACGCTGCGACGGTGATTTATCGAGTCAATTCAGACAACCCGAGTATGCAGTCCATGTCCGCCTCCATCGCTACGCTCAACCTTGTCAATAACCTGCGATCTGACGTCCCCATCTCGGTGACCTTCCTGCCGTTTGATAGCCCGGGACAGAGTGGCGACTTCGGCAAGCTGCTCCAGGTCGCCATCTTCTTTACAGTCTTGTCAGGTGTGGCTACTTGTTTCTTCAGTCTGTACCCCAACGTCGAGCGCAGAATGAATGTTCGCGGTCTTCAATACTCTAGCGGCGTTCGGTCCCTTCCTCAGTGGCTGTCTCATCTTGTGTTTGATTACTCGTGGTTCATGGTAGCTTTGATCGTCGCTGCCATTATCTTCGCGGTGTCTTCCAAAGCTTGGTACAATGTCGGCTACCTGTTCCCCGTCTTTCTCCTGTACGGAATCTGCGGCATCCTGCTGTCATACATCTTCTCGCTATTCATGCATAACCAGCTGGCCGCTTGGGGCGGCATGTCGGCCTTCAACGTTGTCGGCTTTGCCATTTACATCATCGCATGGTTCTACATTATTACCTTCTCGCCCGTTGACGTCGTCGACCGCAACGTCTTGATTGCCCACTACGTGATCTCCGCCATCTTCCCCGTGGGCTCTCTCTTCCGCGCCCTCGTTGTCGGCCTCAACTTTAACTCATCTGCCTGCGACGGCGATGTGTTATATAGCTACCCTGGTCACATCAATGCTTTTGGTGCTCCGATCTTGTACCTCACTATTCAGGCCATCCTCCTCTTCTCCATCCTCTTGTACCAGGACAGCGGGAACAAGCTGCCTTCCTTCATGACCCCCAAGCCAAAATCGCAGATTGTGGACACCGAGACCGCGTACGACTCCCATCCGGGCAACACTGGGTCAGGCCTGCAAGTCAAGAACCTGACCAAGCGATTTGGCAACCACACCGCCGTTGACGATGTCAGCTTCAATGTCAAGCATGGCGAGGTGTATGCCTTGCTGGGCCCCAACGGAGCTGGAAAATCCACCATTATGGGCATGATCCGGGGAGACATCCAGTCTGCTGGGAAGGGCGACGTGTTCATCGAGGATGTGTCGGTCCGGGCCCAGCGGGCTCTGGCTCGCTCGAATCTGGGTGTCTGCCCGCAGTTCGATGCCATCGACAACATGACTGTCATTGAGCACCTGCGCCACTATGCTCGCCTGCGTGGAATTTCCGATGTCGACCGCCAGGTCAGGGCTGTCCTGCACGCCGTTGGTCTCGAGCGGTTCAAGAACACGAATGCCCACCACCTGTCTGGCGGTAACAAGCGCAAGCTCTCTCTGGGCATCGCCCTCACTGGCAACCCCACGGTCATCATTCTGGACGAGCCGTCTAGTGGTCTGGATGCTGCCGCCAAGCGTGTCATGTGGCGCACTTTGGAGACCATCGTTCCAGGGCGCTCCATCCTGCTCACAACGCACAGCATGGAGGAGGCTGACGCCCTGGCTGGGCGTGCAGGTATTGTCGCCCAGCGCACGCTGGCGGCCGGTACTGTTGATTGGCTGCGCGAGCAGTTTGGCGACTCGCTGTACGTCCACCTGGTTCAGAAGACGGCGCCCCATTCGTCCCCCGAGGAGATGGAGCGCGTCGAGTCCTGGGTCAAGACGACGTTCCCGAGCGCCAAGCTCGAGAGTGAGACGTACCACGGCCAGATGCGCTTCTCGGTGCCTGCATCCGCGGTGAGGGAGCTGGCAGCGGCGCAGGGCACGCGGCATCCCGGGAACCGTTCAGACGGCAGCCCCATCGGGCAGCTCATACTCATGCTGGAGGAGGCTAAAGAGTATCTGGGCATCGAGCATCACAGCGTCAGCCCTACTACGCTGAGCGAGGTGTTCCTGTCCATCGTTGGCCAGCACGATGTGGTGGAGGAGGGTTACTCTGCCAACAACCAGCAGCAGGGCAAGACAAGATGGGAGAAGACGCGCAAGGTTCTTGTCGGGTTCTAATGGGCGAGATGTTTACTACAGGCCTGAGCCTTTTTATTTTAATTTTTTTGTACCTTATGTTTTTGATTTAGAGATACTCCCATAACGACGTGTTTGTTTTGTTCTTTTCTGAGATAGAGAGAGAGAATTAGATAACTATTGGTATATTATAATTAACTCAGACCGATCTTGAAGCAGAGTGAGGTTAGCGTCAGTCAGCATTCATTTTTAGGCTCCTTGTTTCGATCCCGTTAGCCCTTGTACCCTTGATTCTTGGTGATATCCATAAAAGACTGCTCGTCTCAAGGTGACGCCGATTGGCTCGACGTTCCGACACCCCTGCAGTTTCTCTTTCTGGGGTCTCGCTTGTTGAGAAGAGCGAGGAAGGTTGCATGGACAGGACAGAGAGAGACTTAATATTCGCGCTGACAATTGGGGGCGGGGGAAGAGCTGCGCTTAATATAAGAGGAAACACACCACCACCAACACACATGCAGAAAGCTGCATCCGCACATTAGAGCCCGGGCCAGATTCTCAATTGCGCGTTTTCTAGAGTAGTAGCACCACTTCAGACTGTCGCCATGGACTCCGGAGACGCCGCCCGCCTCGCCTTGGCAGCATGCGGCATCGTCTCTGTCCTCTCCATCGCCTACCTCGTCCGCATCAACGTGATCCTGAAGGGCACGCCAATTGAGGCTAAGGGAATCGTGACGCCGTGGACAAAGGAGCTGCGGCGCAAGGTCTACAAGGAGCTCGAGAACAACCCGGTGGACTGGACTGCTGACCTGCCGCCCAAGCTGGACCGGAGATACATCATCACAGGAGGCAATGGTAAGTGCTGGCTTGGCTACAGCTCTCTCACCCGTCTGCCCAGTAACGTGGCTAACAACGTGTCAAGGTCTCGTTGGTGGATATATCGTCCTCCAGCTCCTGGCCAGAGGCACATCGCCCGAGAGCATCCGTATCCTGGACATTCGTGAGACGGAGCGCAGTGACATGGCCATCGGACCGGCTGCTCAGGTTGAATTCATCAAGACGGACATCACCTCCCCTGAATCGATTGACGCCGCCTTCAGCAAGCCGTGGAGCAAGTCCGTGGCTCACCTGCCGCTCACCGTCTTCCACACTGCTGCCGTCATTGTTATTTCGGAGAGGATAAAGCTCTTCTACCGACTCCCGGAGGCCGTCAATATCCACGGCACCAGGATCGTCCTCGATGCTGCGCGCAAGGCCGGCGCCGACATCTTCTCTGCCACTTCGTCCAGCTCCATCGCCATCCGCCCCATCAGCGCCTGGGATTCGTGGTGGCGTTCTGAGCCGAGAGACTACATCCAGTTCATAGACGAGAGCGATTTCGACAAACCCATCCGCGCCCACGAGGAGTTCTTCGGAAACTATGCCGTCTCCAAGGCAGCCGCCGAGAGGATCGTCTGCAGCGAGAACGAGCCGTCCTTCCGCACGGGCTGCATCCGTCCAGCCAATGCAGTCTACGGTCAGCAGGGGGACGCCTGCTTTGGTAGGCTGTTGAGTCTTCCCGTGATTCCGACGTACGTTTCCCAGCGCCTGGCATACCTGCTCACCAGGCCAGTTTGTTGTGCCTGATACCAGCCTCTCTCTCACATATAAACGATCAAGCAGCGCTGACATGTAACCGTAATAGCTGGATCCCCCACATTATTCAGAATTTCGTCCACGGAGCCAACGTAGCCGAAGGTCACCTTCGTCAAGAAGCCGTGCTCGCTAGGAAGGGCGACTGCCCACAGGCCGGCAGACCATTCATCGTAACCGATCCCAACCCCCCAATCACCTTCGCCGATCTGTACGGGACCATCACCACGCTCTCAGTCCATCCTACAGAGCTCCAGTTTATACAACCAATAATCATCCTGGTGCTATCTCACATACTTGAGTGGTATAGCCAGCTCCCCTACCGCCTCCCCTTCCTGAAGCCCATCCTCCCCGAGATGAAGGGCGACCTCAAGACGCTCCGGCCGGGTCTGTTCTCCGTCTGCACGCACGTGATTGCGTCGGATGCCAGGGCCAGGAAGCCCGTGGCCGAGGGGGGTCTCGGATACCGCGGGACGTTTACAACCCTGCAGGGCATGGTCACGGAGGTCATTGAGTGGAACCAGGAGCACTCGGACAAGGAGAAGGAGAGGAGGGTGTACTCGACGTCCATGCTGCTGGCGGAGAAGCTGGAGAAGGTGCATGGGTCTTGATCTACATCGAGATGGCTTGCCGGAAAGACATAAATTGGGTTTATGAGGCGATTGAGGTGGTGAGGTGGAAGACCGGCATTGGTTCCTTAGAGCATGAGACATGGGGTTGTCGGTTCTTAGTTCTTTGCTTCTTGTTTCATTAGAAACATATAGCGGCAAGCGTTGAAGAGTACCTAGTCAAGTTACTCATAAATAGGAGAGACCGGAGGAATTAGACAACGTGGTATTAAAAATAAGCTTTCAAAGAAGCTGTAGAAGGAGGGGATATTCAAACCATGTGTTATTTTGACTCTGCACTGCTGTCTGCATATAATTAACCACAGAGCAAGAAAAGAAAGCGTGAAAGGCACAGACTGTTTATCAATAAGACAGTGGAATGCCTTGTGGAGAGAGAACAGGAGGCCTCAACTCATCAAAGGACAAGCGTACGAGCAGCCCATTCAAGAAACATCCCGCCTACGCCCACAGCAGCTGCCATCTGTGTCCATTTGCTTTTCAATCCTTTCAGATCTGGCCAGAAACTATTCACGTCTTGCTGATAAGCTTTGAATTGCTGTGCCTTGAGAGGATCACCCTTTGAGTAACGATCTTGCTGACTACTCTCATCCTCCTTGTTTCCCCCATTGAATCGTAAGAAGAGGTAGTTTGTGACTGGGGCCAGGAGGGCGAGTGGGTGCAAGAGATTTCCACTGAGGAGGAGAATTGGAAAAGATGCCTGGACAAGGGCATCACCAAGGTAACTAGATTGACATGTTAGCGGAATTCAAAATGTCGACCCTTGTTGTTGGGACGAGAGGAAACTATGAAACATACTTTGGATGCCGCACAATGCCCCAGACTCCTTCACGCAAAATACCAGCGTCATAATCTACCTTCTTGTGAGCCTCAAGCTGGTAATCAGCTGCGGTTTCTAGGAAGAGCCCGGCGGAGAACAAGAAGATGGAGAAGGAATGGAGCAATCCCCCGATGCTGGTCACTGGTGGCGAGGCGAGACCACTCTGAGTTGGTGCCCGGAATGACAGCGTAAATGGCAGGCTAATGAGCGTCTGAGCCACAGCTTCGGGAAGGAACAGAGAGAAGAAGGCCAAGTTCCAGAAATGTTCGTCTTTCTTGACAGCGGCATATCGAGGATCATCTCGCCCGCGTTTGGCACTCCTACTAACGATGCGATAGAGCAGGCGAAGACCCCAGACTGAGACGCCGCCGAGAAGGAGCTTCTGGGAGTAATCAAGTCTCGACCAAGCTTCTGGAACGGTTAAATCGTCGTTGATGACATATGTCCCAATCGCATTCCACCAGGCGTTGGCGGTGATGCTGGTTGGCCAAAGCCAGTCCTTGCCTTCGACACGGTCAGTGTAACGGGCGAGACCATACGTAACTGCGGCAAAGGCAGCATGGAGGTTGAATGACGGAAGAACAGTCGAACCTAAGAGGCCGACTGTGCTGGTGGTTCCCGTGGGAAGCATTGGGGTCTGAGGGTGAGGAGCGGCAGGGATCGGCGGATGAGGGAGCCTGCTGGCGATGCCTTCCAAGGGCATGTCCCTGCCGGCGAACCTGGCCCCGTATATGTCTTGCTCAGCCATGATCAGCGGTATTTCTGGCTCGTCTCCGGGGAAGGGGAGATGATGAGAGCGGTAAGTGTGCATAGAACAATGCCGGCTGTGGGGATGTCTTAAATGCTGTTTGCCTCTGAGTGGTTGTGTCATACGTCGCGATGAGATCATCAGTCAGCGATCGCTACCCAATCAACGGATAGGCTGAGAATAGAGAACTTTAACGGGCGAAAGAAGGTTATTGCGCTAGAAACTGAAGAATGGAACAATTCCTTGTTTCAGATTCGATCCATAGTGCAACGCTCGAATTCTCCTTAGCCGTGACATTTCCTAATGAGCTTTGAGCATACGAAGTGTGTTTAAATTTCAAGCTCTATTCTGAACGATGATCTGATATACTCCCGTATAGGTTTCTTTCAAAGTATGTGATCGCCCCCACAAAGTCTCCTCGGTTAGATTTGAGACAGAAGCTTTCTGATAGGGGACATGTTGACTCTTACATGTTTGGATCTCTATGATGACCTCTGACTGATGGCTGCACTAGCCGAGCTCGGTGCTTTGATTCAATTTACAATGCCTTCGCGCGGTGAGCCTATAATGGCTAGTTAAAACCATAGAACTTTACCAAACTGGCGCAACACCCTATATTTGAAAAATGCAACTTCGAAGATGTCGTGACGAATGGTGTGATGACTTGCTTACGCTTAAACTAGGTGCGTTACATCGCAGAGATCATCGTTTTACCAGTGCAGTGGATTAATATTCCACCGCCACATATAAGGACAGAATTAAAGTAGCCTATGATATACCCGTCGCCTCGGCCGAGCAACAGGATAAAATGAGCATGGTGGGGCTGGATATCGGGTTGCGTGTTTGGTCTCCCTTGAAAGAGGTGATGTGGATATAACTCAAGGGATATTTTCCGGCATTCAGAGGATCGCTCGGCAGCGTCGTCACTCTTCTATCTGGATTGGCTTGGAATATGTATGGATACAATTTGAATGGATAATATAACCGGTTGCCTAGCGGGAAAAAGGAAGTCCTAATGACAATCCCGTAGCCAATTAGCCTAAGTTAACAACTTCATCTCCACGTAAAGCGGTCGTTGTGAGAGAACAGGAAAATGGGGAGAAGTATTAAAGAGCCTGGGTGTATTACCAGACTGAACTCTATACAGCCCAGTCAACAAATGGTAAGAGTTGATCTTCGCCATGGTTTCTTTTCAGCTTACGGCCCAGCGTGTACTCCATCTGGGGCTACTGCTCTTATCAGCCAACCCCTATGCTGAGGCACTTGCTGTCAGTAAAACACGTGCAGAATCTCTGGGGCGCGAGCGTGTTAATATCAACTCAGATTGGCGTTTCTGGAGATCAGAGGAAAACCCTGACGGCATTATATATGACCAACGTAAAGACCTCGAACACTTGTCTGATGCTGAGATTTTGAAGGATTGGGTTCTCCCGTCAGCGAATGATTTCATCCGGGATACTTCCAAGCACTATAAACGCCCTGAGGGAAGTCCCAGCACCGTCGTGCCCTATGTGCAGGGAGATTTCGACGACGAGAAGTGGGATGTGGTCAGTTTGCCCCATGACTGGGCCATTTCCGGACCCTTCTATACCGACGCGGACGGTGAAGCCATCGTGGGGGGCGGAATGGGCCGCTTGCCCGTCCATGGCGTCGGGTGGTATCGCCGTAAGATCGAGAAGACCACGGAAGATAAGGACAAGCAAATCTATCTGGATATCGACGGCGCCATGTCGTTTGCCATGGTCTGGCTGAACGGCGAACTTATTGGTGGATGGCCCTATCCCTACAATTCGTTTCGATTGGACTTGACTCCACATCTCAAGGACGGAGGGGACAATATTTTGGCTATCCGCCTTGATAATCCTGTCAAGTCGGCAAGGTGGTACCCAGGGGGTGGGATCTACCGTAATGTTTGGCTTACAAAGGTTGAGAAAGTCCATATCGGTCAATGGGGTACCTTTATCAAGTCGAAAGATGTATCCTCGCAATCTGCCACCCTTGATCTCACGGTCGAAGTCGAAAACAGCGGAGAAGAGACAGTCAACGTTGATGTTGTTACAGAAATCTTCGTCTTAGACCCAGCTAGCGACACAGCCGGCGAAAAGGTGGCAAGCTTCCCCAAAGAGTCTGTGCAAGCCAAGTCTGGAGAGAAGACGTCGGTTACTGGTTCAACCACCATCAGCAACCCTCAGCTCTGGGGCCCTCCACCTACGCAAACACCTCACCTATATGTGGCGATCACGAAGTTGTACAACTCCAATGGGGATGAGATAGATCGGTACGAGAGCAACTTCGGTATTCGAAGCGTCGAATTCACTGCAAATGATGGACTCTTGGTCAACGGCGAGCGAATTCAGATACAGGGTGTCAACCAACACCATGATTTGGGCGCAATTGGAGCAGCCTTCAACACACGGGCGGCTGAACGGCAGTTGGAATTGCTGCTGGAGCTTGGAAGTAACGCTATTCGAATGTCACATAATCCTCCAGCCCCTGAGCTTCTCCATCTCACGGACAAAATGGGGTTCCTTGTCATCGACGAGGTGTTTGACAGCTGGAACCTGAACAAGACAGACAACGACTTCCATGTCATCTTCCCAGATTGGCACGAGGCTGATCTGCGTTCCTTCATGCGCCGCGATAGAAACCACGCATCTGTCATCGCCTGGAGCTACGGCAACGAGGTTCTTGAGCAGCGATATGGCGGCACGGCTGGGGCTGAGCTCAGCCGCACTCTGCGCGCACTCCTCGAGGATGAAGATTCCAGCCGGCCCTCGACCGCGTCTCTGAATTTCGCGCAGCCAGGGAATGATGGAGACGAATTCAGCCGCACCATGGACTTGTTGGGTCTCAATTATCAAGGATCTGGCATTCGCGACCTGCCCAATTACTCCCACCTGAGTGGCATCCATACGAGCCCAGCATTCCCGCTGTTCCGTGAGACTTTCCCTGATAAATTCCTCTTTACAAGCGAGTCGGCCTCTGCTCTGAGCACTCGGGGCACGTACTTCTTCCCGGTTGCAGATGATAGCGGGGCGCCTGTTAATGAAACATCTGGTGGCAACAAGACGCTGGCTCAGGTTAGTGCATACGAGGTGTACAGCGCTGATTTCGGATCCTCCGCCGACAGGGCGTTTGACCAGCACGACAGACATCCGTACGTCGCCGGCGAGTTTGTCTGGACTGGGTGGGACTACCTGGGCGAGCCTACGCCGTATTATTCTGCAAGGAGCTCCTACACGGGCATCATCGACCTGGCTGGCTTCAAGAAGGACCGATTCTACCTGTATCAGGCCAGATGGCGGCCTGATCTACCCATGGCACACATCCTGCCTCACTGGAACTGGCCCGAGAGGAAGGGGGAGGAGACACCAGTTCACGTCTTTACGTCGGGCGACGAAGCTGAGCTATTCTTGA